ATACAGGTAGTCCCCAGTTTAAGAATGAGTTCCGTTCCCAAGGTCTGTCCTTAAGTCAAATCTGTATGTAAGCTGGAACGGTATTATTGTATAATACCGTATAAGTAGTATTGTGTAATGAACTTGAACCCTTGTGTATTTAACTCGAACCCTTGTGTATTTAACTTGAATTTTGCTACAATCAGCTCTGTTCTTAACTATGGGTCATCTGTAAACCGGGCATTCTTAAGCTGGGGACTACCTGTATAGATATATATCATGTGTATTTTTCAAAAGGCATAAAATACTAACAAGTGTTTTGAACACATGAACCCAATGTGAAGTGATAAATCAAATAACTCACTAATGTATTTATAGAAGGGCATAGGAGCATATATAAATATATAAAGCATTAAAAATAGATGTGTTTCCATTTTACACTTTTCAGCAGCATAAATACTGAACATGTTGGCTTAACCACAGCACAGAATAAAAGAATCAGTCAGGCTAACATAATGACCCTGAATTAATGGCAGAAAGAAAAAAGGTAAGAAAGCAACAGCTGCACATTCTCAAGTCTGGATATTTCTCACAAAAGGCATCCATTTCTTCAAAGAATGCAGAGCAACTAACAAGTCACAGTTAACAACTAACAGAGCAATAGAATATAAAACTTAGAGCAAAATAGATTATGAAAATTCTAAACTGTTGCTAAAATCTCATGCAATTTGTATAATATTCAGGTGTTTCCTCCACATTCTCCCCTCTTTTTATCGGTCCCATAAAATTCAAGTTCATAAGGAGGAGAGGCATGATAACACCAAGAAGGCTTTCTATAATGGCCCTTTCCCCAGAAGATCTGGACCAGCCATGACAAGCAGGTGAGACCAACTTAGGTACAAGAAGGACATCATGTAAAACAGACATATAGAATTAAAATCAAAGTCAGAGGTACAAGTATCGAGAAAAGAAATGTTTTTCAACCTTAAGGAGACCTAAGAGGAATCCAGTATAAATAATTAGATCCAGTCTGCAGAATCACTACAGATAGTCCTCCTTTGGCAACCACAATTGGAACTGGCAACTCAGTCATTAAGCGAAGCGGCTGCTAAGTGAAACTGTGACTGTGCTTATGGTCTTACTTCAGCTTTCCTTTGATTTAGAGACCTGTGAAGGTCATAAATGCAAGGATTGGTCACAAAGTTACTTTTTTATCATGTCGTAATTGCAAACAATTGCTAAAGGAGGACTACCTGTATTGCCAACATTTTGTGCTGTTGTGTGCAAAAGAATAGTTGTGTTAATATTAATATCAATTTTGACCTTACTATGCTCATGTATCTGTATGCAACAGAAGGAATTTACTAGACTGCACGCTCCAGAAGATAATCCAAAACCAGGCAATTATCTAGACTAGCATGGTCACAGCCTTCAACTTTGTATTGCAAGCCATGTATGGCATTAGCAGAAGCATTAAAGCCTTTTTCTAATTCAACAGAAACATTTGCAATTGCCTTCCCTAAGGAAATAATTCCAATATAATACAAGCATATACAACGTAAATCCCAGACCACATATGCCACCCCTCGTCTTCTGATGGGGCACCAAAGGGCTTCCAAAGTGCTGCCAACTTATCATTGTTAATAGGACGAGATAAGAAATGTACTAAATGTAGAGAGAGTAATGATGAGAATGGGCTTAATCTGATGAATTACTGAGATCCCAGGATAATCATAACAACTAGATTATCTGTGCTTACCCTTTAATACACCTAAAATTAATTCTGGAAATGAAAGCTTTCGGTTCCCTTGAAATCCCTTTCCAGGCATCTCTTCCATATTGCCATTTCAGGGTGTGCCCTGCACTGTAGTTTCAGTGATGCAGAAGCATGCATTGAAATAGCAACGATGGGATCATGCGTATGACTGCACTAAGGTAGGGGGTATACTTTGGGGAAATCAAACATGTGCAATAAAGCAATGTTAAAACATAACAAAAAGACTCTTGAGTCAACCTCAAATTCAGATCCCATGAAAACTGCAGATCGAAGTGGAAATGATGGATCAGGATATATAATTAATTCAATGTGCATCTGACATAGGCAGAAGGAAAGAGACATACATTCCCAATCTGGTGCTCTCCAGGTATGTCAAACTACAACTTGTGTAACTTTCACCTAGAGTGGTGTTTCTCAACCTTGGCAACTTTAAGATAGGTGGACTTCAGCTCCCAAAATTCCCCAGCCAGCTAGGTGAAAGTTACACAAGTTGTAGTTTGACATACCTGGAGAGCACCAGATTGGGAATGTATGTCTCTTTCCTTCTGCCTATGTTAGATGCACATTGAATTCATTATATATCCTGATCCATCATTTCCACTTCGATCTGCAGTTTTCATGGGATCTGAATTTGAGGTTGACTCAAGAGTCAACACATCCAGAGGACAAAAGATGGTGAGATATCCATCCTAGCCTCTTTCTAA